GTATCTTTCATGTTTTCAACTAAAACAGCACAGCTTAGCCTCCTCAGATATAGCTGGAATAGAAGGCATCACGAGTTTTATCTCGAGTTCTTTAAGTTTGAGTCTTCTGATTAGTCCGATTGTGCGTGGTTTGGGATAGATGTATGCATTCCGAGTTTATGTTACTGCTGACGTTCAGATTTGCTAGTGATGGCGTGGGATGGTTGGACACATCTGGGCCGAAGTTATTGGCCCAAACGCTGGCATATTAAGATCAATTTTATTGGGCTTCAATTGGTGATTGCCTGTTGCAGACCAGGTTCTTGTGTTGCTGAGTAGAAAGTCTAAAGTTACCTAGTTGTTCTAGTTTGGGCCTGATATAGCCGGGCCCTTCCTTGGTATTTGCAATAGGGAACGGATAATTGGTTGTGAGTACTTTTTTTAGAATTTATTTGGCTTTAAGTACTACCTCAAAACTTATACTTCATAAAATTTTCTTTTACATCAAATAGTTGTCAATAAGTACACATTTTAAAATATTTTAATTTTTTTTTGAAATGTATTCTATAATTACATTTACCATAAATATTGTTTATAATTGTTAGTTTCAATGTTTTCAAATGTAACAACTCCTAATTTGAAAATTATACTAGCATTAAAATTATATTTCTATCATACATATATATAAATATATATATATATATATATATATATAGAGAGAGAGAGAGAGAGAGAGAGAGTAACATTAAATAATAACACGTTCAACTAAAAAACAGTAATATTAAATAGTAACATATTCAATAAAAAGCTTAATTAAAAATTTAATCATTACAATAGAGTGACACCATATGTGAGTATTAATTTTTTTGAGGAGGTATTAATTTATTATAATAATTAAGTTTTTATTGAGCATGTTACTGTTTGATGTTACTATTTTTTTGTTGAGTTTATTACCGTTTAATATTATTATGTATAATAATATATGTGTGTGTGTGTGTGTGTGTGTGTGTGTGTGTCAGGAGAAATTGGTACAAGAAGTCGTGGATACACTTCTTAATAATGGAATCCGCGAACTGAGGGATGGTCATAATAAAATTTACAAGTCGTTTTCAGATGTAATTGAAGGCAAAGAAGGAAGGTTTCGCGAGACTCTGCTCGACAAACAGGTTGATTATTCAAACTGTTCCATCATTGTCGTGGGCCCTTCACTTTCATTAAATCGATGTGCATTACCTCGGGAAAATAGCAATAGAGCTTTTCCAGATATTTGTCATTCGTGGTCTAATTAGACAACATCTTGTTTCGAATATAGGAGTTGCTAAGAGTAAAATTCGAAAAAAGAACTGCTTGTATGGGAAATACTTCAAGACGTTATACAGGGACATCCTGTATTGCTGAATAGAGCATCTACTCTACATAGATTAGACATACAGACATTCTAGCCCGTTTTAGTGGAAGGGCACGTTATTTGTTTACATTCATTAGTTTGTAAGGGATTTAATGCAGATTTTGACGGGGATAAAATGGTTATTCATGTACCTTTATCTTTGGAGGCTCAAGCAGAGGCCTGTTTACTTATGTTTTCTCATATGAATCTTGTGTCTCCAGCTATTGGGGATCCCATTTTCATACCAACTCAAGATATGCTATATTAGACTTTATGTATTAACGAGCGGGAATCGTCGAGATATTTGTGTAAATAGGTATAATCCATGTAATTTTAGAAACTGTCAAAATGAAAAAATTGGAAGAATTTATAATAATAACTATAAGTATACAAAAGAAAAAGAACTGTTTTTTTGTAATTCCTATGATGCAATTAGAGCTTATCAATAGAAATAAATTAATTTAGATAGTCCTTTGTGGCTACGGTGGTGACTAAATCAACGCGTTATTGCTTTAAGAGAAGTTCGCATCGAAGTTCATTATAAATCTTTGGGTACCTATTATGAGATTTATGGGCACTATCTAATAGTAAGAAGTATAAAAAAAAAAAAAAAAAATCTTTTTATATACATTCGAACCATTATTAGTCATATTTCTCTTTACTGAGAAATCAAGGAAGCCATACAGGGGTTTTGTCAAGCCAGTTCATATGAATCCTAATCATATGGTACATAAACTAAATAATTCTATGATACTAGTGGAAATTCAAGTCTCTCTGGTTTAACTAGGACCATAGTTCAAGAATTTCTAAGCGAATCAAGATTAAGAAAAGGAAATTTTTTAATCATCGACTCAAATCCATTGTCGAATTCTACTCAACGAAATATGGTGGCAGAACGAGTCAATCTGGTCTTTCACAGTAAAGTGATAGATGGAACTGCTATGAAACGACTTATTAGTATGTATATATATATATAATAGAAACATAATTTTAATGCTAAAATAATTTTTAAGTTAGGAGTTGTTAATATTAATACAATTTTTAATTTAAGAGTTATTAGTTTTTTTCAAATAAATTTTAATTAAATATAACTATTGAAGGTATTTTGGACAATAAAAATCATAATAGATTTATCTCCAAATAAATTTTTTAAATGTACTTAAATCTAAATAAACCTACAAAAACTAACCGACCTCCAAAGGGCCTTTGTCTCTATCTTGAGACTCTCGTGTGAAAGTACTTGTTTATAGTGCAGCTTAGAACTTTTCATTTAGTTCTGTCAATCGTGTCAAATTAATTATCAAATTTATCGGGTTGGAGTCCAATTAGTTACTTATTATTTTTTTTTATTGAACGAGAACATCACGTGACGAGATAGTATCGGTTCCATTGAATATTGAGGTGTGAAATTGACAAAAAAAAGTGGGATATCATAAATCCAACCGCTGTGGTACGTCGGCAAACAGTTCCAACGTTTAGCTTCCGATCTAAGCAAATGGAGCATTGACCATGTAGGGTCCACGTACAATTCACACCACGTCATCACCTTAACCGTTATAGGATGTCATCAATTAATAATATAAAAAATTAAAAATAGAATTATACTTAGACCATTTAAAATTTATTATTTAATTTTTCAGATCTCTAATGTTTAAAATATTATACACAAAATTCATGAGAATTGTACGTGCGTAACACTTAGACCCCTGCCGTCAATATCTGTTAATATATCCATCGGTAAATTATATCCAGATTTCTTAAAATTTATAAACATGTAATACTCAGACCTTTTAAATTTAAAATATTATACTTAGACTAAAAATACTCCAATTAAAAATAAAATATTAAATATTTTAAATTTTACCACCAAAATTCATGTTATATTATGATATCAATTGAAATAAAATTAAATATAAAAAATTAATTTTTTTTAAAAACTCATAATTAGTTTACAATTATATTATCATAATTGTTTCCATTACATTTTGATCTCTTGTTTAATTTTTCAATTTTATTCCAATAGATAATATAATTGCATACTAATTATAATTTTTAAAGAAAAATTAAATTTTTATTTTTGATTTTATTTCAATAAATGACATAATATAACGTGAATTTTGATTATAAAATTCATGTTCTATTTTGAATGACTTAGACTATTTGTTTATTTTTTAGTTTTATTACAACAAATAGTATAATTGTATATTAATTACATTTTTTTAAGAAAAAATTAGTTTTTTTTATTTTATTTCAATAAATGATACAATAGAACATGAATTTTAGTTTTAAAATTTAAAATATTTGATATTCTATATTTGATTAGAGTATTTTTTATCTTAGTATAACATTTTAAACTTGAGAGGTCTAAGTATTATATGTTTACAAATTTTAAGGGGTCTGAATATAATTTACTAATAGATATTTGATGGTAATGGTTCAAGTATTACGTGCGTACAAACTTCAAACGATTTATGTATAATATTTCAAACGTTAAGAGTCAAAATGATTAAGTAACAAACCTTAAAACGTCTAAGTGCTATTCTCCCAAAAAAAATAGAATAACTGGGTCTCTCTAATCCCACATAATCTACCTATCTATATCTATATTTATATCTATATATTACTTATAAATGTCAACATTTGTAAAAAAAAAATTGATTACCTATTTTATCCATAATTATTATGATAAATTCAATTATATCCACCTATATACTATTATCTTTTTTTTTTTTTTACAATTATTTGATTTTTAACTTATTTTAGACTCTTTTATAGGGACTTCTAAATTTTTGTAGTACATTTACATACATTCTCCTATATCTATATGAAGAAGTAAAGTTCTAAATATGTTAAATTATTATACATTATTAAGTTGAATTCTATGAACAAATATATGTTATATATATTTTTTTAATATACAATAATATAATAATATTATAAGAGGTCTAATCAATTTATTTAATAAAATAAAAATTAATAATTCTATAATATAATTAGATGTGTAAATGTCTAAAGGAGTCAAAGAAGTACCTAAATAAATGACAAATTTGTTACTCAAAAACTTATAGAATAAGTCAAAAATTAAATTTATGAATAATTAAAATCCAGATTAATTATTTGGTACTTAATTTATTATTTAATTTAATTACACATACAATTCAAATTTTCTATAAAAATAATATTATTTCAATTTATTTACGCAGGTCGTGCATTTATAGTATTTTTCTTGTATTTATTAAATGTGAAAGCTATTAGTTGTTATAGAATTTAGTAAGATCTAATAAAATTACATGTACAACATGACGATGATAATGTAACGACAAAATTCTTAGAAATAGTTTGATAATTAAATCTAACTTTTGATAACTGGTTCAATCTCTTCCCACCCTCGCAAAGGGTCAGTCACCATATTCTTACTAAACTCAAGCCACGATAACAAATTCTAAGCTTGAGGGATTAGTGGGAGTAATAAAAAAAAAAAAAGATAACGTAATGACACCAATGCATTGAATATTTTCTGAACAAACAAATGGTCACACTAGTACTTTTAGTTAAATAATGGGTGTCTTTTGTAATTATGTCCATGACTCGCAATAAAACGGCCAATTTGCGTCTCTGTCTCTTAAACAGAGATCTCGTGTAACAGAGGAGGAATCCATTTCTTAAGCAAGCAAAAGGGGAATAAAACTGAGAGAGCGAGCAACCGAAAGAAGAGAAAAAGAGAAAGAAATGGGGCTACTCTCCAACAGGTAAGACTCGTCTTTTGATCATTGAAATTGCAAAACACCCCTTATCAGTTTCGATTTACAGTACAAATTGGAAATTGGAAAATGGAAAATGGAAATGCAGGGTGGATCGAGACAGTCTCAAACCTGGCGATCACATCTACTCCTGGCGCAGTGCTTATATTTACGCCCATCATGGTCAGATTTCTCTTTTTCCCTATATCTATTCTTCATTATCGGAGCTCGTACAATCTGAATTTGATGGTTCAAATGTTATTACAAAATTAAATAAATAAATATATAAGGTTTAACCATTGTGGGTTTTTTTTTCGATCTTTTGGTTTGAAGATTCAAAATCTGATTCACCGTCTTTCAATTTTTCCTTGAAAATTTAAATTTTTATGCATAATTTATAATGCCGATATTCGCATCCGAAAAGGGATCCAATCAATGAAGTCATCTAACATTGGAACTCATAGCTATTGTATTAAATTAAATCTCTGATTAGCTCCTATAGCATTGCTCTATTTGCTCCTTGTGATGTTTTTCAAATATTGCAGCTCTCATTAAATGAGTCATCCCCTAGTTGGTCTATTATGAATCTCATATCGATGTTAGATCCATATGAGATTTGCTTAGCAATAAGTAAAGATTGTTGCACTTTCTATGACTGTGCATACATGCAGATAAACTAAAATTATTTTGTTGATATGAATGCATTTATTTGTTGCCCATATCCTCGCCGGATAAAAAAAAAAGTGACCAAGTGCATGTGGGAGGATAGAACATGTCTGCCGAGGGTAGTGCATGCAACTGTACCCTGCATGCTGATAGGTTGTTTTCCTCTCAAACTCAGGCGCCCAGGTCACAATGGAGTCATCCTACCAATATGTCATATACTCATATCTAGGTCCTTTTTTCTTTTCTTATTGATATGTTGTGTTAGCATTCGTGTCGTGTTATATTGGTGTTGGTGTATGCACTTCTTTGGCAGCAATAGAGAGTTTGAAACACTTGAGTATATAATTTATCCAATTCTTGATAATCAAATTCAGTTATTCAAAGCCAATGGAGAGGAGTCACGTCTATCTTGCCTCTAAAGTCACTACTTATTAGTTCACTTCACATAATTTTGTCATAACCAAATTTCTATAATGCATTAAGTGATAATTTTTTGCAATTTTCATGCATATATATATTTGGTCATATCTAATCGAGAGGTTTGTCTAGAATCTAAGAAAACAAGCTTCTGAATTGTCATTGGTGTCATTGAATTTTTTATAAATTAATGAAGATTTATATAGAGTGTTCTTTCTTAGAGACTTTTGTGAGGCACATGCAAAATGAAATTAGGATACCATGACTGTTTGTTTCAACTTTGCAAAATATTTCTCTAGGGACCTCAAGTTTTTCAATTGTTGTATGCTATGAGCTCTTAAGCATGTAGAGGGGGGAAAGTCCTGCGAAATCCACAAAATAATTTGGATACTGAAATTTTTTTCACTAATAGATCCAAGTATAGAAAAAGGTTTACACAGTTTACAATATGTGTTGATAGCTAGCTATAGATGTTTGCTTTAACTGATAAATTGATTCTTTCATAGTTGGACCTGGCACTACGACTTTGGGTTTTATTCTCAGGTTCTATTGATTGTCCTTTGTCAGCGAAAAATATGTCATTTTGACCAGTATTTTCCAAAAGAGAGATAGTATAGAGTCTATAGACTGATATTGAGACTCCATGTATGCAGATGATTTGAGTTTGTGAATATCTTAGTTGCTTCATTATTTTGATTTTTGCAATTAGTTTCCTGGTTTTTCACAACAGAACCTTGTTTGGGGACATCTGGTTACCAATAGCTTAAACTTTATCATATGAATGCCAACAGGCATCTTTGTCGGGGATAATAAGGTCATCCATTTTACTAGACGTGGGCAAGAAGTAGGAACAGGAACTGTGCTGGATGTTCTCTTGGTAAGCTCAGGACCAGCCCGATCTTATGTGCCCTGCGACACGTGCACCCCACCAGAAGATCACGGGGTTGTCTCCTCATGCCTAAACTGTTTTCTTGCTGGTGGCATCTTGTACCGTTTTGAGTATGCTGTTAGCCCTGCTCTTTTTCTTGCAAAAGCACGAGGTGGAACTTGTACCCTTGCAGTCTCGGATCCATATGATGTTGTGGTTCATCGAGCAAACTACCTACTCAACAATGGCTTTGGATGCTATAACGTATTCAAGAATAACTGCGAAGACTTTGCTATCTACTGCAAGAGTGGTTTGCTTGTTCTGGGTCAGAACACGATGGGCCAGAGTGGACAAGCAGTGTCTATAATAGGTGGCCCTCTCGCAGCTGTATTATCTACGCCATTACGCCTTGTTACTACCAACATCTATGGCATGGCAGCAACAGCTGTTGGAGTCTACTGTGCTAGTCGTGTTGCTGGTGATATTGGCATGAGGAAGGATGTGGTGAAGGTATCTGTGGAGGATCTTACACGGAGGCTCGCAACAGGTACACTTCAGGTTGTTGAACCGAGTGTCCCGGCTGTTTCTCCTCCTCCTCCTCCTGTCAGTTAGTCTTGCTGGTTTGCATTGCCCTCTATACTTTGAACTGGATGCTTTATATTTATGATTGGTCAATAATTTGTTGAAACCCTTTATTCTCAGCATGTTCACAGTGGGCTATGTAACATCTATATGTGGGGATTTTTACCTTGTTATGGCTGTGTAAGGGTTGGCAGTATACTGTTTTGTCTTGTTAAGTATATGTTTGTTATCTTATGTTTCAGTAGTTTTTTTTGGGGAAAAATTATTTTTTGTCCTTCGAGTTTTGGCCCCTAGTCCTAGAGTTTCACTTTTAGCACATAAAACCCTGTTGCTTCCAATTTGTTATCAAGTCCCCAATGATTGAGGGTACTTAGTTTTTAAAAGAAAATCGAGTAATATTATAGAGACCTAATTTGGAGATCGGGGGTGCGTTTGTTAACCCAAATCCAACAAGTAAAATAAATATATTCGGTATTTATTAATTAAGTCTATTTGATAATCAAAATTCAAACTCTTTTAATATATTAAGAGAGTTTAAATTTAGTCTACAATATTAAATAGAAGATCTCTTACTTAATTCTAAAAATTGAAAGAAAATATATTTAATAATATTTACAATATGATAATTATACCATAAAATATTTTACAATTCCATTAAAATTTTAATTAATCTTCTCTCCAAAATCCCAAACTTATTTATCCTCCTAACCAATCGTCTTCTTCAGTCAGTGATAGGTAAGTTTCTTCCATGTCTTATTCTTCTTCTTTGTTTACTTCCTTTGTCCTGTCCAACAAAAATATACATATATAATTACCCACATACACAATTTTATACGCACAAAGACACACAAACATAGACACATGCACTGCGCACACACATAGTTACACACACACACACACACATGCATTGCACACACAATTTAACAATCACACACACATGCCTTTTATTATTCTTTTTGTTTTCAATGTTTTTCAATTATTTATTAGTTATTGCTCTCTTTTTTTTTGATCAGATGATATTGTTCACTTATTGTGTTATTCAATTTATTATTATTCAGTTATTGTGATTGTTCACTTATTGATAAAAATATATTTTATAAATATAAGTATTTTCAAATTAAAGAGTGGAAGGGTAAACTTAAAAATTAATTTATTTGTATACGTCATCTCTGTATAGTTATCAAATAATTTGGTTCAATTCAGTATTTAAATTTTAGTAGGTACTAAACAGTTCACGAATTCAAACTTTAGCTTTTAACTTTTAGACTTCAACTTTTAATTTTATCAAACACCACCTTAATCAAGAACTTAATTTCATATGATCATCGGATTAGTTTGTGAATTTTAATGATTGGTGAAATCTAACTTTAATTCAACAATTGTAATTGATTAAATCTCTGACTTAGGTCTAATTAACTTTTTGCAATAAAATAATCAAGTGGAATGAGAGGATCAAATGAAGGGGAGAAAGAACTATTATTGAAAAAAGGGAATTGTACTCTTTGTAGCCTCGTGTTCACTCCACTTCCAAATAATTATTATTTCAATAAATTGAATGACTACCTCTTATAGTTTTGAAGTTGGATATAGGAACCATTGGTACAAAAGACTAAAGAGGTTGAATCCATCGTAACAGAATAAATTGCCATTGATTTTGCATCTTCAATATATGAAGAAAGACCTGAATTCATGTGAGTAGAAGTATTTCTAGAATTTGACTGCAGACAATTATCGATATTCAAAAAAGTCGGTCTTATCCTACATAAGTCCATTCTCTAAACGGAATAGACAAAACCGACAATAGCTTAGAGCCCAATTAAATGCTTCAATCCTTCATTCATATTCCGTCTCATTATCCAATTAAATGCTTCAATCCTTCATTCATATTCCGTCTCATTATCTTTTTTTCATGTCTATATTAAGAGCACATGCCAAATGAACAAGGACACATATCTTGCAATGGTTGGGTTGGTATTTGGAAATCATTTTCCCCATTTTTGTTAGGCAAAACAGTGGAGGTGACTCACACAATCATTGGGTCAATGATTCATGTCTCAATGCCAATATGGTACAAAATGAAGGGCAGTTTATTTTCTTTGGGCCCAAACCCAACTCATTTATGATAGGCCTTCAAATTGTGCGCCCAATGTATTCCTGGATACTTGCAACTTAATCCCACAAATTGCAAGTCCTTTCGTGGAAAAATATTTCACTCAATCTTACTCGACGATAATTCACAAAACTCACTATTCATAAAAGGGCTTGTAACTCATACACGATGGATAATCTTTTATTAAGCAAAATTAAGTAAAAAAGGTAACGAAAAAAATATAAATCCCTTTCTTTTAGACGATAACTTTTGCAATAATACTACTTAGACTCAATTTAGTGACACAATTTACTATCCGACCCGCTATTGTTATTGGATGATAGAGGTTTAAGCAGAAAAAGAGATGTATAGCTAAGGGAGAGAGAGAAATAACGCATGCATAAAGAATCTGTCTATCAAAAGATCGAGAATCTATGAAAGAACATTTAAGATCAAAGAAGAATTCAAGTAAGTCTGTTATTAAGGGTAGTGGTGATCTCGTCTTGCTTGTTAGGAGTGAGAATTCCTCTCAACATCGAAAATCACAGCTGATTCAATAGACTTGGTAGACTGGCGTAGTGAATTGTAAAAAATAAATTCGGCTCAAGTAGTATTATTTAACATGTGTGGGGCTAGAAATCACCGTTTAGGCTTAAACATATCAAATGACTGGATTCAAATCATTGCTTAGGCCTGTCAATATCTGATACGTGTTCTTCTTTATTGCTTGGAGGTATGGATGATTCCTATGCAAACAAAGTTATCTGGATGAGAGTTATATCTATCTCTTCAATAATAGATAGAAAATGGACATGTGGGGACTTATGGTTTGTGCTGAAGAGAATCGATTCCAACTGGTAAGGCATTTTGTCGTCTTTGTAACGTGGGAATCAATCTCTCTGTGCCTAAGATTCTTAACCTTTATGTCTGAGTTGTTCATGCAGTTGAAAAAACTCAAATTTTTTTTGTTCAAGTCGTTATAATTATAATTATTTAATGGGACTAAACTTATTTTTCAATGTTCAAAATAGCTTTAACCTCAACGAAAGTGCAATAAAGTTTAGGCCTATCAAAATTTGACACGACACAAATTAACACAGCGTTAAGTGGGTTTAAGTGAGGTCTTATTGGGTTGAGTTGTAAACTGGTGAACTTGTCAGACTTGTTTAATAAACGGGTCATGCTTGGGTGAGACAGGTCAATCCATTTATCAGTTTAAATAAAATAATAATTATTTAAAAAAAATTAGTCAGAATAATATATATGTAATTATTAAATAGATTAATAAGAAATTTATAACCAATTAGAGTGATCCATACCAATGTGTCACTTTCACGTTGAATAACAATTTTTTTATTAATAGTTTGTTAATTTGTTAGCAGGGATGTTTATTAATTAGTTATTCACCATTTTTAATGACAAACGGGTGGCGGGTTAAAAAGTTTATCGTGTTAACTCAACTCTACCCAATTCGATTTGTTTATTATGAGCCGAGTCGTGCCCACTTAGTAAATGAATCGTGTTCAATTTGAAAATTTTCATTCGTTGACATAAACGAGTCATGTACGAGTTTATTGATTTTTCACACGAATCTAAGTAAACTTAACTCGTAACCATTTAACTCGACATAGTTGACACCTATAATGGGGTCTCCTGCAGATTGTTCTGTCGTGTTGAAAGACATTACTCCCTAACGAATATGTAGAGTGACTTATCTGTAAATCTATTTTATGCACCAAAAAAATAATATTTTTTTATTTTTTTTTTCATCTTCCTTGATTATAGTTTACTGAATTCTTAGTTTATTTACTTAATCTTTTTCTTTTGGACTAATTAAAGGACTGTTAAGGAAGATTTAGGACCATACGAATTTCGTGCCATTGGCATTAATACGCGGCGACCAACAACTTGTCCATCGATTCAGTTTTAATGAGCTTTTATGGAATTATCCTTCGATTCAGCCTTTACCATGTCTATTTTTTTGTTCTTTTTTTTTTTTATTTATGCTTGACCCTTTTTTCCTTTTTTTTTTTTTTCAAATTTCATGTTAATATGTCACGCAGATTATACCTAACCGTTGGCTCTAAAAAAATGAAAAATTGTAAGGAAGTCTACGAAATTATAGTTATAATTATTAATGTTAGATCATTAAGTTCTTAATTTTAGAACTTAATTGTGTCCAAATACACAATTTGATTTTTTTTGTGATTTTCTTTTGACATATTTGTCCTCCCTTAAATCATGCATATTTCTTTTGACAGTTAATTAAATTTTTGATTTTGTTTTATTGTATTAAAGATTTTCTAATATAATGGAAGAATTATATTATCACAAGATTTACATATAACGTTGATTGTGTATACCTTTACCATTTTGAATTTTAAATTTTCACAAATCTATCATTCTTATTATTCTTCGATGACTGTGGAAAAGTTCAAATATATCGTATTTATTTTTCTATGACGTTCAAATATTATCAGGTTGAATTTATGTTTTCTTTTTTTTTTTTTTTGTTTGTTGCACAGACTCCTAGTTAGTTTCAAGGTTTTTTTTTCTTCACAATTTTTGTATTTGTTTCTACTTATTGTGTTGAGTGCTCACTTTTTTGGTTAACTTTTCATCTTTCAAATAATTATTTGTTAATTTTGATATTTTTGTGTTTTATGAATTTTTTTATAATATTATTTTTGATTATTGAACACTACAATACTGACTGTTGTTTGAATCCTAAACTGTGTTTTCTTCTTCTTTTGTATGTTATTTTCATGGTAGTTTTTTTGGGACTAACAGATTCTATGAATTTGTCCAATTCATAATTACATGGTGTACATAAAATTGCTTTATAATTTGAATTCACATTAAGTTATAGTTTAAAAGTGTATCAATACAATATGACACTAAAAAGTTTATGAAATTAAATGTCTAATTTTTGTACATCCACAATCATAATATCAAATACATGTGATTTACCTCAACAAAAAATCAACTACAATCACCAATAGAAAAAAGTGTTCAAGAATTATATGATTATGATATATTTACAAAAATTTAAAGTGTATTAATATAGTGTATGAGTAATAAAAACTAAAGTTTAAGAATTACATAAATTTAAAATGTATCGATATAGTACAGCAAAATAATGTAAAAGTAATAGAAACTAGACTTCA